CTAACCGGCCCTAAGAGTTGCAAATCATTTATGGTGGTTCAGAAAAATAAAGTTTTCTTACAACTTTGCAAAATTTGACAAGTTGGACCTACACTTTGAAGGTCCTCCTGGCGTTGAAGGTGCTGAGGGCGGAAGGTACCCATGGTGCTCCTGCCGATGAAGGAGCTGAGGATAGAAGGTACTGGTGGTGCTCCTGGCGACAAGAAGTTGAGGTCAGAATGTTTTAGCGATGAAGATGCAAGCGTTGAAGGTGAATCCCAAATCGGTAAACAAACAAAAATATCAATTCAAATTTATAAACATATAAAAAGTCTCAATACATACCTTAAGAATGTGACTAAGTCGCTGCTGTTTTGCAGTCTAAAAGAAGAAATTACATTATAATTAAATAAAATTGTTAAATACGTATCCTTACCTTCAAAATTTTCGCAAAGTGACATTTCTTCACAGTATGTATACTGTCATCAAAACTCCGATGTTTCTAACTTGCTCGCTCTAACGCATAGAATTCTTATTAGAGTACGAATTCTTATCGGGTATGTAGCTCTAACAAAGGGACATTTGTTTGACAGTTCGAACAAAAAATTTGTAAGTGTGTGGGTGAGATGACTAAAAAGTTGTGAATGTGTTTGTAAATCGTTTGATTTTCAGGGGAAAGTGGTGAGCCGTGGCTGGCAGGGACAGCGCTTAGCAAAAATAACTAACCACACATCGAAGAAAATTATCGCTGGGCAGTCTACTCGTTAATTTATCACAGCATGGGGCGCCAGTCACACGGATATCTATTGTGATATTTGGATCGTGATTCATATTGATTGATTTCAAAATAGTGATGGATCGCGCGGGAATGCTACATGCTCAATATTAACGCGTCACTATTTATATGTTTTTGTGTAAAGAAGTTTAAAGTCCGATTGATGAAGCTTGGAAACCTTATCTTGATGTTTTTTTATTGAAAATCGTCTCTAAGTTTTATTATATGTATGGTGATTCCACATCTAATTTGTTCGAAATGCATGCAATTGATATCACCAAAGATGCCACACCTTCAATACTTATTGATAGATCTTTGATACATATATAGAGGATATGAAAAAAGGAGGTTTGAACAGCAGTTTGTACGGTGTATTTGGGCGCTTTATAGCCTTATTATATGCACTTAAGTCGAATTTTTAAATATTTTTTTGTTCTGCAGCTAAGATCCCGTTCAAAACGCAATAGCATAAAGCGCGTTTTTGTGAAAAGTATATTTTTAAACGCGTGCGTTGCAAAAATTTTTGTGTTGTTTTTTGTTTCCCAAATTTTTTCTTCTTTATACATGTACGTATACGGAGATTGAATAAAAATGTATTTATATGCGTATGTGAATGTATCTAATTATTATATTAGGCTTTGAGCGCTAGAGTAGCTTAACTGATATTTCAAAAAAAGTTGAGGTGCCCTTTAAAATGCTTTACCAGAATCGAAACGGTAATAGCCCGAGGCACGCCCTTTTAGTTTTCTTATACTATAACATGTAGCATCACGTAGGTGCAATGAATTTTTTAGTAAAAGACCGCATTTATTTTTTATGGATCCTTCTTTTTCATATTACTAAAGATTTTTTGGAAAATAAATTTCTATAGTTTTCTTACTATTTCTACGATTCGTAGCAAAATCCGAATACGAAAGAGTTGTAGAATAGGGATGTAAATTTCTTAAAGAGTCAGATAATATTTCATGAAACCAAAGTGTTTTGCCGTCAGGTAATTTAAGATATTTTAAATGAATACACACGTATTAACAGCTCTGCTAATACGATGAAATAAGTACACAAATTTACCTTGCGAGTTATTCAGCCTCATTGCGTAAGTCGTAAATAATGCTAAATTGTACGACTCGACAACATTGGCATTGTTTACTGTCGTGCTGAAAAAAATAAGCGACGAAAATCGTCGGAAACTTTACAGAGTCGTATCAAACGACACGACTTGCATTCGACACGACTCTCGCAATGAGGGTGATTATTTTTTAATGCATAAAAAATTCCTTAAAAAAATTTTAAAATTGCCAAAACAATAATTTGTTGAGGTGGCTACTTGAGCAATTTACGAAAAGTATAAACGTCATAAGCATAGTTTATGTCAAAAAATTTCAAAGTGAAACTACCTTCTTTTTTTGTATCATGGTATTACATTAAAACAAACAACTACTCAGCATTTCAAAATTGTTTGATTAAGTTTAGTTTTGAAATACTCACCATCACTTTTACAAGTAGCGAAGGAACTTTCTTCGATTTCGCCCCACGGCATCGATGTTGCGCCAAAAATTAAAAAAATTGATGTATCGATGTCAGAACCGATTTTTTTTTGCATCTCTACTAGTCGCTATACCATTTGTTAACAGCAGCGTTGCCGGGAGCTTGAAAAAAAGTAGCAATTGCCAAGCAGAAAAAGTAGCAAAAGCAAGCAAAACTGTTTTATTTTAACTTTTATTTGAAAAAAACAAATTATAAATAATATTTTATAATTAAATCCATAGTTATAAAAACAACTTAATATTGCTTAAACAAAACCAGAGAATCTGTATGCTTATTTGCATAACGAAAAACAAACTTATATGACCTGTTCGCGCCTAATACGTTACTTTCAATTAGACCTTAAGCGTGTGTCTCGTTTGGCAGCACTGTCTGTAACCTGTCTAACTTGACATCCTTTCTACTTCCCTTCTATTAAATGGATTTAACCAAATTGGACGTGTTTAATTTTAATCCGAGGTAATCCGCTTAGTTTTCCCCGCTATTTTTCAAACTATAGTTTCAAACGCTATTTAACCGCCACAAAGTGGTCCTTCAAAACGGATTCCGCGATATTTTCGTTGTATACAGTCCACACCGCGTTATTTTAATATAACAAAATTTTACCGCACCCGCAAAATGTCGTCGCTTAAAGTCCGCGATTCCGCTTTAAAAGCCATAAAGCGCTGTTTACAATCGAGCTTTCGGTCGACGTAGAGGTTGTATCTACGTACTTGCAGTTGTTGGAGGAACAATGGGTACGATTTTGTGAAGCTCAACAAGAGGTAGAGCTCTCGTGCGGCGAAGAAAGCGTCGAGATGGAGGAGCAATCTCGAATTCAAGGTGAGGAGTGGTATACTATCGCCAAGGTGAATTTCAAACGCCTTACGGCTGCGCTCAAGATACCTACGCCTCAAGCCACTCAAACTACGCCAGCACCTGCGCCGCTTCCGAAGCTGCAGCTACCGTCGTTTAGTGCGCCGAATGGCTCACCTTTCATGACGCCTTTTGTTCGCTCGTCAATGCCAATGCAAGTCTGACGGGCGGACAGAAGGGCGAAGTACTGGAGTTGGTAAGCAGTTTAGCAGTGAGTGACAGCAACTACAGTGAGGCCTGGGACTTGCTGACCTCACGCTACAAAGTCATGCGGATCATAGTAGACAGCCATATAAAAGCCATATAAACATGTGCTTAACCTAACCTTGCAGCATTTTGGTGCGCTACTTGCACTCGGGCGTCCGGTTGAGTTTTGGGATGACTGGATTGTCCACCTAACCGTGTCGAAATTAGCCTACGAGACTCGCAAGCAATGGGAATTATCGCTCGTAGCCGACGATTTGCCGACATTCGCTACGCTAAGTGACTTTCTCGAAACTCTGCAGAGTCAGATAGAGCTAAAGCTGCAGCTTGTACGTACTGCAAAGGTGAGCACAGAATCTACACATGTTCGAAATTCAGTCAGCTCGACGCAAAGGCCAAGCTAACAACCATAAAAGCTCAAGGTGCGTGCTTAAACTGCCTTAGTAAGGGGCATGTCATCGCAAAATAACGCAGTCCATCATCGTGTCGCATATGCCAACGTCGGCATCACTCGCTACTGCACTCTAGCCTTAACAACCAACAGCCCGTACCTGTTAACAACGAAACCGAACCTACCGTAAATGTTACGTCGTATTATGCTGACGCGGAACGCGTTATTTTATTGGCCACCGCTGAAGTTTATTTGCAAGACCACGCTGGTCACTGGCAATCCGCACGGGCGCTACTCGACAATGGTTCACATGCTTCTTTCATCACTGAATCCTGCGTGCAACGCCTTCATCTCCCCAGAAGCTCATCAACGGCATGCGTTACAGGTGTTGGCTTAATCCAAGAAGGTCGGACCAAGGGAGAAGTCAAGGTTTGTGTAGCTCCGCGGTCATTAGACCCAAACTTTCAAGTGAGTACGCTAATTTGGTCAAAAATTACTAATGACCTCCAACCACAGCTGTACAGTGCCCACACACTCGCGATTTACCACTAGCTGATTGAAACTTCTCCAAGCCTGGGCCTATCGATATTTTAATTGGCATGGATGAGATGCACAAGTTTTTGCTCGAGGGCCTGAAGAAGGAGCAAAACGGCTCTCCGATGGCTCAGAACACCGCGTTTGGTTGGGTGTTGTTCGGAAACGCTACTCCTTCACAAAGGCAACCTGCTTCAATCTCAACGCTGCACTGTGACACCCAGCTAACGCAACATCTCACCAAGTTTTGGGAACTTAAGGAGCTGCCGCCGAGAAAGTTTTACACGACTGAAGAGCTTTATTGTAACAAGTTATTCGACAATACAACACAGCGTGCGGAAGATGGTCGCTTCATAGTACGCTTGCCGCTCAAAAAGGAAGTTCCGATTGGTGAATCTCGAAACGTAGCAGTTCGTGCACTACTAAGGATGGAAAAGCGGTTCGTCGCCAACAAGCGCCTTCATGATGAATACAGAAAGCTTATGCAAGAGCTTGTTGACTTGGGTCATATGGAGCCTGCTGGTCCAGCCACTCAAGCCAACTATTACATGGCGCACCATGCAGTGGTCAGGGATACGAGTGCCAGTACTCAGCTTAGAGTTGTGTTTAATGCGTCCATAAAGACATCACTCGGCCATTCACTGAACGACGCTCTAATGGTAGGCCCTCAGCTGCAACAAGATCTTTTCTCGATTTTGATTCGCTTTCGCACGTGTCGCTATGCTCTTATTGCTGAGGCAAGTCTACGTTTCTGAGCAGGATATTGATAACCAACGTATTGTGTGGCGTGGGCACGCTTCAGAGCCATTGCCCGACTACCGCCTTCTAAGTGTGATTTATGGGGTGGCCGCAGCCTCACACCTCGCCGTGAAGTCGCTACACCGCGCAGCATTGGATGCAGGCAACGTCTATCTGAAATCCGCTGAAGTTATTAGGTCTGACTTCTACATGGATGATTTCCTCACCGGTTCGGATTCACTCCAAGAGCTATCATCGCTTCAAAGGGATGTTTCTCTCGTGCTCTCTCAGAGCGGATTCGAGCCCCGAAAGTGGGCAACGAATTGCCAACCGTTAAGAGATCAAATACAGCATGCGTCGAAGCAAATATCTCATCTGCTGGCTGAAGGAAATGATATCCGCACTCTGGGCTGTATCTGGCATAGAGACAACGACTCTCTCTCGATCGCATTTAATCTGGACGAGCTGCCGATAAAGCTAACAAAACGCGTGTGCCTCTCCGACTCGAGCAAAATATTCGACCCGCTGGGACTAATTTCTCCTTGTACGATTGGTTCTAAAATATGGCTGGAGAAGGTTTGGCGCTCGAATGTGGACTGGGACGAGTTGGTACCACCTGGCATATCTATCGAATGGTTGACTCACAGACGGGAGCTAGCTGAACTTTCGTCGCTTAAACTATGTCGCTGGATTGACACTAGTTCCATTGCAGATGCTGAGTTCCACATCTTCACAGATGCTTCGGAAGCTGCTTATGCGGCCGCTGTTTACTGTCGAACACTAACTTCCGTCGACGATGTCAGTGTTGTGTTGCTTGCTGCGAAACCAAGGGTCGCTCCTTTGAAAACTACATCGCTGCCGCGATTGGAACTATGTGCAGCCCATCTGGGTGCGAAGCTAGTTCGGCAGGTGGAATCAAGCTTTGGCTGCAGGCTCGAAAGGTTGTATGAGTGGAGCGACTCAATGGTAACGTTAGCGTGACTGCAAGGAGATCCAAGCCGCTGGTCAGTATTCGTGGCGAATCGCGTCGCCGACGTACAGGAGGCCTTACCATCAGCACAGTGGAGACACATCGCCTCCGAGCACAACCCAGCGGATTGTGCCTCAAGGGGTATCACACCTTCACAACTCGTCGCCCATCCCTTATGGTGGCACGGGCCAACCTGGCGTCGAGAACATGAGCGGTGTTTGGTTCAAACTTCCAGGCAACGCACAACAGAGCTGGAACGGAAGTCCGGCAAAGCCGTATCACACTTTGCGAAATCCGCCGATGAATGGGATCTGCTAACCAGATTTAGCTCATACAATAAACTAAAACGAATTACCGCCTATTTGATTCGTTTCGTCAACAACTCGCGCATGTCCGCCCGTCAGTCCAATGTAGCCGCGCGGCTGTTGGGACCGTTAACCAGCACAGAAATTAACAAAGCTGAGCTCGTATTGGTATGGTACTCCCAATGTAACGTTTTCTCAAAGGAAGTTTCTAATTGCAGGTCGAAGAAACCAATACCCTTGCGCAGCAGCCTCGTTCGTCTTCAGCCGTTTCTAGATGCCCATGGTATTCTTCGTGTTGGAGGCCGCATCAAGAAGGCATCGTGCTCAAACGATATCAAACACCCGATGATATTGCCCAAGAAATCGTCGCTCACCAAAGTTATCGCCGCTGAAATCCACATCGCCATGTTGCACGCTGGACCGCAAATGATGCAAGCAGCCATTCAACGCCGATTCTGGGTCCCCGGCATCCGAAACCTCGTTCGAGAGATACATCGTCATTGCATACGATGTAAACGCCTAAGTCGCAAGCCGCTGCAACAACAGATATCTGAATTACCGTCGAGCCGTGTTACGAGTACACGATGTTTTCTTCAAAGTGCAGTCGACTTTTCCGGTCCGTACAATGTAAAATTTACACATGGAAGAGGCGCGAGGTCAACGAAGGCGTACGTATGCTCCTTTATATGCATGAGCACAGGTGCAATGCACTTGTAATTGGCCGGAGATCTCCCTTCATTTAGTTTTATCGCCACCTTCAAGCGCTTTACCAATCGAAGAGGGCATTTCCAACACGTGTATTCCGACAATGGCACTAATTTTGTCGGAGCCGAAAGGGAGTTGCGTGCTGCATTCGAACGCTGCATCGGTGACGACAAGCTGACGAGTTACTTTGCTAACGCTCAAACTACTTGGCATTTTAACCCACCAAGCGCCCCGCACATGGGTGGTTATTTGGAGGCTGGTATAAAGCGTATCAAATGCCACCTCAAGCGTGCCTTAGACTCCACTCTTTGGATTTACGAAGAATTCGGTACAATTGTAACGGAGGTTGAAGCCTGTGTGAATTCTAGGCCTATTTTCTGGATACCCTCTGACGTCAAAGATTTTGAAGTGCTAACAACAGGCCACTTTATAATCGGCGAACCTTTAAAGGGCCTTCCGGATCCTGACTTGGGAGTTTTTAAAGGGACGCTTCATCAACGGTGGCAAATGATTACAGCGATAAAGCAACATTTCTGGAAGCTATGGCGAGACGAATATCTCGCGAACCTTCAGCGACGCACGAAGTGGCTTCGTCCAACGCAAAACTTACAAAGGGACGACGTGGTGATTGTTCACGACAACAACGCACCCCCCACGAAATGGAAGCTCAGCCGTGTTCTTGACAGTCACCCCGGTGTTGATGATCGCGTTCGGGTCGTCAACTTAAGGACATTCGAAGGAGAGCTGCTCGACCCATTGTGAAGTTGTCGCTCTTGCCGACTAATACTGATATTTTTTCCATGTAAATATTCAATGTAAAATTATTATATATGTACATACTTTTAAAGTAAGTTTCGAACAGTCGTTCAAGGCGTCCGGTATGTTCACGCCTAATACGTTACTTTCAATTAGGCCTTAAGCATATGTCTGGTTTGGCAGCACTGTATGTAACCTGTCAAACTTGACATCCTTTCTACTTCTCTTCTATTAAATGGATTTAAGCAAATTGGACGTGTTTAATTTTAATCCGAGGTAATCCGCTTAGTTTTTCCCGCTTATAAACCCGCAAACGCTATTTAACCGCCACAGGACCGTTAAACCACACAAAATCATTGCGCAACCCGAGAGCTGTACAAGTAAATATTGTGGAAACTCTTCTTCTTCTTCTTATTTGGCGCTGTAACCGCCTAAGCGATTTTGGCCGAGTCCAAAACAGCACGCCAGTCATATCTCTTCTGTGCTAACTGACGCCAATTGAATATGCCAAGTGAAGCCAAGTCCTTCTCCACCTGGTCTTTCCAACGCAGAGGAGGCCTTCCTCTTCCTCTGTTCCCAGCATCGCGGCCCGCGTTAAATATTTTCAGAGCAGGAGCGTTTCTGTCCATCCGAACGACATGGTCAAGCCAGCGGAGCCGCTGAATTTTAATTCGCTGCACTACGTCTATATCGTTGTAAAGCTCATACAGCTCATCGTTAAATCGTCTGCTATATTCGCCATCACCAACGCGTAAAGGTCCGTAAATCTTTCGCAGAATCTTTCTCTCGAAAACTCCAAGAGCCGCCTCATCAGATGCTTTCATTGTCCATGCTTCCGCGCCATACACCAGCACAGGCATGATGAGTGACTTATAGAGTGTGATCTTTGTACGACGAGAGAGGACTTTACTTCTCAATTGCCTACTCAGCCCAAAGTAGCACTTGTTGGCAAGAGTGATTCTCCGTTGGATTTCAAGGCTGACATTATTATTGGTGTTAATGCTGGTTCCCAAATAAACGAAGTCGTCTACTTTTTCAAACTTGTAACTTTCAACAGTGACGTGGGTGCCAAGACGCGTATGCTCTGACTGTTTGTGTGCTGACAGGAGATACTTCGTTTTGTCCTCGTTCACCACCAGACCCATTCGCTTTGCTTCTCTATCCAATCCCGAGAAGGCAGAACAGACGTAGCCCTTGTTTTTACCGATAATATCGATGTCGTCGGCATACGCCAGCAATTGTACGCTCTTATAAAGTATTGTGCCTGAGCGGTTTAGTTCTGCGGCTCTTATTATCTTCTCCAACATAAGATTAAAGAAATCACACGAAAGGGGGTCCCCTTGTCTGAAACCTCGTTTGGTATCAAACGGCTCGGAGAGGTCCTTCCCTATTCTGACGGAGCTGGTGGTATTGCTCAACGTCATTTTACACAGCCGTATTAGTTTCGCGGGGATACCAAATTCAGACATCGCGGCATAAAGGCAACTTCTCTTCGTGCTGTCGAAAGCGGCTTTGAAATCGACAAATAGATGGTGTGTGTCGATCCTATTCTCGCGGGTCTTTTCCAAGATTTGGCGTATTGTGAATACCTGATCTATGGTGGATTTTCCAGGCCTAAAGCCACACTGATAAGGTCCAATCAGCTCGTTGACGGTGGGCTTCAGTCTTTCGCACAATACGCTCGATAAGACCTTGTAACCTATGCTTAGAAGGCTAATTCCGCGGTAGTTGGCGCGTATGGCGGGGTCGCCTTTCTTGTGGATTGGGCAGAGCACACTTAAATTCCAGTCGTCGGGCATGCGTTCATCTGACCATATTCTGCATACGAGCTGATGCATGCACCTCATCAGCTCCTCGCCGCCGTACTTGAATAGCTCGGCTGGCAGGCCGTCAGCTCCAGCAGCTTTGTTGTTTTTCAGCCGCGTAATCGCTATTCGTACCTCGTCATAGTCAGGCGGTGGGACAGCTACTCCATCATCATCGACTGGGGACTCGGGTTCGTCTTCCTCACTACTTTCAGCGCTGCTACCATTCAGTAGGTTATAAAAGTGTTCCCTCCACAATTTAAGTATATTCTGGACATCGGTCACTAGGTCGCCATTGTTGTTCTTACAGGAGTTCGCCCCGGTCTTGAAACCTTCCGTAAGTCGCCTAACCCTCTGGTAGAATTTTCGGGCGTTCTTCCTGTCGGCCAGCATCTCAAGCTCTTCGCACTCACGTATTTCGGCCTCTCTCTTCTTATTGCGGCAAATACGTCTTGCTTCCTTCTTCAGTTCCCTATAACGGTCCCACATGGCTCGCGTTGCGCCCGATCGCAGCGTGGCCCTGTAGGCGGCATCTTTTTTCTCTGCGGCTTCTTGACATTCCTCATCGTACCAGTTGTTCTTTCGGGCTCGCTGAAATCCAACTACTTCTTCGGCGGCGGTACTTAATGATCGGGAAATGTGGTTCCACTGCTCGCGTACGTCGGATTGTTGAAGAGTGCTCTCAGAGAGCAGGTGTGTGAGTCGAGTGGCGAATAAATTGGCCGTCTGTTGTGATTGCAGCTTTTCGACGTTAAGCTTTCCTTGCATTGTTGGGCGCACATTTTTTGCTGCACAGAGGTGGGTGCGTATCTTGGCTACAACAAGATAGTGGTCCGAGTCGATGTTTGGCCCTCGGAGTGTACGTACGTCCAAAACGCTTGAAGCATGCCTTCCGTCTATCACAACATGATCGATTTGGTTTCTCGTTTTTCGATCTGGAGACAGCCATGTAGCTTGGTGGATGTTCTTATTGTGGAAACTACTACAAACCTCCGCAAACCTTATTTTGGAGAAACAGTGCTGCTCAAGTAAATATGTGGAAGAAATATGACTGTGTGTTGCATCTATTGATAGCTTCAGATTTAAAATGCAAAAAAATAATATAAAGTAGAACGCTTTATTTTCTATCTTACTTTATATATTTTTATTTACATCGACCCATCGTCGATTGCGTATTTTTCGAATGCCCTCTTTCTTCTTTTTTCTCCCTCCTCTTGGTCCTTTTACATGTTTCACTTGTCCAGTTTTTGTCTATTCGTCTTGTTCATATCCGTTGTACGTTATTGTCAGATATTAGGTACTTTACAAATTTTCTTTGGCGCATATTCATAGTCATATTTAGTACTCAACTAAGTCGAAACTATTCTAAGTCACAACTAAAGCTATTCATAGTCGCCTTAGTTTCGACTTTTCTGGCTAAGTACCAATTTAAAATTTAGT